TGCGAAATGTTTTTCGGCCAATAGAAAACTAGGAAACATTTTAAAAACAAAATTCAAATAATCTTCAATTCTCAGAAACAAAATTCTTTTACTGACCTTTTCGCGAGCCGACGCGAAGTTTGTTCGTCGTCCAATGGAAAGGCCCGAATCATATCCGGGAGTGAATTCCCAAATGAACTTTTCAAGCCCCACAAACAAATAAAAGACGGGCAAGTTCGCCTGTCACCAAAGAGAAGGAGATTAGCGTATTAACACGTCCCTTGATAAACGTCAAGCGATCGTTATTATTATCTCTATCTTTCTCCCTCACCTCTTTTACACTTGATAAACGAACGGAACATTTTAAGACTGAGCGATTACTTGAAAGACATTCCTACCCTACGATAATGCTCATACATACATACATACATACATACATACATACGTTCCTGCCTACATACACATAAGCTCATTCTTACAAGGACTACTACGAACATTTTGACGACCTTGTATCAACCAAAATACATTAATTTTATTTGTAAAGACCTTAATTGATTTATATGTATATAAATTTGATGTTTCACTTTACAATTTGATTTTCTTGTTTTATACCCCGTCTTATGGTGGGCTATCTAACTAACAAGGCCAAATCAAACTAATCTGCTTCAACACTCATACATTTCACTATAACCTATAACCCACTATAATCCTACTTGACTTTGCCAAAAAAGAAAAAAAAAAAGTCATCAGACGACGCTACTTAAAAAGGCGTGCATGCCTCTCCCTAGTTTCTCTTTTCACCTTTTTTTACACAGGCCTTCATATGTAGTTGAATGTGGGTAAAGTATCCCCAACTGGGACATGGTCCTCTCTCTTATGAACTCTCCTATACACGTATCTATCACGTACACAAACTTCACACAAAAACGCACATTCTCTTATAGCTAGTTTAAACGTTTTTCTATGTAACTATCAATTCTACAATCCATTTATTTATACAATCTTGTTAGATGATAATGAATCTCCACAACTTCCTATCCTTTGTTGCTCTAAGCAATGTTTGTATCTTTTCTATCCCTCCTAACCCCTATTCTGTCATCCATTAACACAAACGGGTTAGTTAGCTGATCATGACTCTCCACAACTTCCTATCCTTTGTAGCTATTACATAGCAATTCAGCGCTCTTTTCTTTGATTTCAATTAAAATTTTTTTTTTTTTTTTTTTTGTTATTACTTTGCTTAGTTTTTGGATGGCATCTTTTACTATTCTAATACATGTTCGGATTTCGTTGTCCCATTTTCCATCCTCTTTTAAATGACTTCCCAGATATTTCAACTTTTGTAATTGCTTTATTTTGTCTTTAATTGGTAGTTCGCAGATACAAGCACAGATATGAAGAGATGGGCACTGATCATTTAAACCAACTTAAGGAAACTCGTTACGTAGGTTACTCATTGCTTTCTTCTATACTTTTGGCTTTCGAGATGTCCCCTGAATGTCAAATTCTTCAAGACAGCTTTCTTCAGAAGTTTCAATAGATAGTATATTTTCGCTCCCATTTGACACCAAACTTTCTTGTTTCTTACATGTCCTGCCTATGATATTCTTTGCAACATTCTGTAGAACTACATCTCTTACCAAAGTTTGTCTTTGTACTATCTCTGCTACACCCTGTTCTGCCATCCATTTATACAAGCTTGTTAGGTAATCACGACTCTCCACAACTTCCTATCCTTTTTAGCTCTAAGCAATGTTTGTATCCTTACTATCCCTCCCAATGCTTGAACTGCCATCCATTTGCTTGTTAGGTGACTATGACTCTCCACAACTTCCTATCCTTTGTAGCTCTAAGCAATGTTTGTCCAATCCCTGTTCTGTCATCCATTTACACAAGCGTGATCATGACTCTCCACAACTTCCCATCCTTTTTAGCTCTAAGCAATGTTTGTATCCTTACTATCCCTCCCAATGCTTGTTCTGCCATCCATTTGCTTGTTAGGTGATCATGACTCTCCACAACTTCCTATCCTTTGTAGCTCTAAGCAATGTTTGTCCAATCCCTGTTCTGTCATCCATTTACACAAGCGTGATCATGACTCTCCACAACTTCCCATCCTTTTTAGCTCTAAGCAATGTTTGTATCCTTACTATCCCTCCCAATGCTTTTTCTGCCATCCATTTGCTTGTTAGGTGATCATGACTCTCCACAACTTCCTATCCTTTGTAGCTCTAAGCAATGTTTGTATCCTTACTATCCCTCCCAATCCCTGTTCTGCCATCCATTTGCTTGTTAGGTGATCATGACTCTCCACAACTTCCTATCCTTTGTAGCTCTAAGCAATGTTTGCCCAATCCCTGTTCTGCCATCCATTTACACAAGCGTGATAGTTAGGTGATCATGACTCTCCACAACTTCCTATCCTTTGTAGCTCTAAGCAATGTTTGTATCCTTTCTCTCCCTTTCTTCTTTTATCGTAATTGTAAATCCATGCAATTAGTTGTCGTTTGTTTTATATTGTTTCTTTCTCACATGGAGTCCGCCATAATTGTTGTGGGATAAATATACCAGGAGACATGTTTCTACCTAAACACGCTAGCATCACATAACAGTTGGATGTTAAGCTAAACCAATGAACTGTTAAATGCGTTTAAAATACGTATTTTCCAAATACTCCCTTAGCAAATTGAAAAATAAAGCTTCTGAAATATTCTGATTTTTTGCCTTTGTTGCGTATTTGGTTGTAATAATAACGATTGATAGCCCTTGGGTAACTTCCTGATGAATGAAGGTTATCGTTGCTTAAGGAACTCTCCTGGATTACAACACACTCCCTGACAAGGAAACCAAGGCGTTCTTTTTAACTCACAGACAGTAGCCTGTAAAATTAGTTTATTAAAGTTTTTTAAGTTGTAATAATTGTTGTTTATTTTCATTACAATGATAAAAAAACACATTTTCGATTTGGGAATGACAAAGCATTAAAACAAATAAATTAATGCCTTTTCCATTACTTTTGAATAAAAGTTCATCGATTTATGACACAAGACCATAGGGTTACAAAAAAGCCATAACCCAACATCGATTTATAACACAGGAACATAGGGTTAGAAAAAGTCATAACCCTAATATATATATATATGAAAAGTGTATATATATATATATATATATATATATATATATATATATATATATGTGTGTGTGTGTGTGTGTGTATGTGCAGTATATTATATATATTAATTTATATATTATATGCGCGGTACTTATTGGAAAGCGCTCAATATCAGAGATAGAGCTAACATATTTGGTTGGATTGATGTGAGTTTGTGACCCTGGGTTTCACGCTTTTGCGATCGTCAGACAAACCCTGACAAGCGCAAAAACGTGAAACCCAGGGTCATATATATATATATATATATATATATATATATATATATATATATATAAGTGAACATTGAAATCAACAGGCGACACAGTTTCATGCTAAACGCAGTCATCAGGTTTGATGATTGCTAAAGCATGAAACAGTCTGTCGCCTCTGAGTATTGATTTCAATGTTCAGTTTTATATTTACAAACGCTCTATCTCAGATATTGAGCACTTTATCCCGTAAATATAGCAAACCTTAAGACTATATTTCTTCATACACAGAAATTACTATGTTTCGAAACTGGTCCGCAAATGCTAAAGTTTAATTTCAATATTAAACCTTAACTTTCGATGACCGTTTCATTCTCAAGCGATATTTGAAATAATTCACCGAAGAAATATTTATAGTTTTGGAATGGAGGTGTAATCTGGGGTTTGTTTTTCATTATCAAGGGGTCTCTGCTTTGATGAAAGTAGGGCTGTTTGTTATATGTCAAGTTTTTGAAGTCGTGTAAGGTTGGGTTGGGTGATTTTTGTTTGCTTACAATGGCCATTTCCATTAGGTTCTGTTGTTTTTATTACTCTCTGCTAAAACTCAAACTGATTGATGTTCTAGTTACAGTCTTTTTGGTGTTTACTTATTTGTTTTTGTTGATGATTTCTTAGAGGAGTGCTAAGATTATGATTGGGTTGTATTTTTAAACCTATAGTTTTAATTAAATTTGCTAATAGATTTTATATGGTATTGTGGAATTATTTATATATGGTATTGTGGAATTTTTTTAGGATTCAATTTCTCTTGTGAATTTTTTTTCCTATCAATTTATAAAAAATACTAATTTTTTAAGGCGAATATTTGGTGGTGTCTGCAAAAAACCGTTATTTCATTTCTTTGATTTAATAAATTTTTGCTTTTTAGAAACTTCATAATGTGTAGTTTCATTACTTATTTTTTAATCATTTCTTTCTTGATCATTTCTTATACGCGTTCTGTCTTTCTTTTTTCCGCAATAATTTCTTAGTTTTTCTTTCTTTTTTAATCATTTCTTACATGATGATTTCTTATATCCGTTTCTTTCTTTCTTAGTTATTTTTGCTTCTTTTTAATCATTTCTTAGTTTTTCTTTCTTTTTTAAACATTTCTCACATGATCATTTCTTATACCTGTTATTTCTTTCTTTCTTTTTTTCTTTCTTTCTCATTTTTTAGTTATTTTGTTTCTTTTTAATCATTTCTTTCTTGATCATTTCTTATACTTGTTCTTTCTTTCTTTTTGTCCCTTCTTTCTTTTGCCCTTCATAAACTTCATAATGTGTAGTTTCATTACTTATTTTTTAATCATTTCTATGTTTTAATTTCATATTAATATAGAAAACCTTAAAACCATATTTCTTCATACACAGAAATTACTATGTTTCGAAACTGGTCCGCAAATGCTAAAGTTTAATTTCAATATTAAACCTTAACTTTCGATGACCGTTTCATTCTCAAGCGATATTTGAAATAATTCACCGAAGAAATATTTATAGTTTTGGAATGGAGGTGTAATCTGGGGTTTGTTTTTCATTATCAAGGGGTCTCTGCTTTGATGAAAGTAGGGCTGTTTGTTATATGTCAAGTTTTTGACATAACCCTACTATGTAGGGTTATAGTCTTTTCATTCTTAAACACATTCTTTCTTTCTTTCTTTCTTCATTATTTTTTTTCTTTCCTGACCATTTTATACCTTTTCTTTTTTTTCTTTATTTCTTCTTCCTTTATTTCGTGATCATTTCTAAAACCTCACTTTTTTTCGGCAACCATTTTCTTTCTTAACAGCATTTATTAACTTCCTTGATTCTTTCTTTCTTTTTTTTATGGAATCACGTTCTTTCCGTCTTCTTTTTTTCTATCTTTATTCCCCCTTTTCTTTTCATCATTTAGTTTTCTTTTCATATCTCTTGACTAAAGCATGCAGACTCACTCGAACCCTTTTTAACCGCCATTTCCTGACTAAATTTCACGCATTTCCTTTATTCCTTCTTTGCATCGTCTGAAGAAAAAAAAAGAATCTTCATTAGTTACTCCTTTGGCGATCTAAAGACCAAACTCACCTTCCTCTACCCCAACAACTTCCACTGCCTCATCTCACCCTATGAACTCCACCCTGCAACAATATATATTTCGGTAGGCTTCAGGGAAAGTCTAGAAGGAACCATCAGTTTTATTTTATTTATCTATTGTGGGATTGTCGGCCACCCACAATGAATTTCCTTAATTAGTTAACAAACGCATTCTGAACACGTGGGAAAGGCACCCCCCCCTCTTCTATGTCTGACTACGTCCTCTTCTTTTCCTTTCCTCTTTTCTTTCTTTATTTTCTTCTTTCTCCTACCTTGTTCACCTTCAACTCCTTTTTTTAAAAAAAAACTCCTTTTCTTCTATAGCTCTTCTTTTTTTTCCCCACTCCCTTGCATAGCTTCAACTTCTTTTTCTCTTTCTCCTCCTCCTTCCGACCGTTTGCTTCTTCCTATCTTCTACATGTCTCATAACGTTCTTTTTCTTTTTCTTTTCCTTTTCTATTTTCTTCTTTCCTTTTTTTCAACTTCTCTTTCGCTTTCTGCTCCCCCCCACCACCACTTCCGTTCGTTTGTTTCTTTCCATCTTCTACTTATCTCATTACGTTCTTTTGCCTTTTCTTTCGACCGTCCATTCTATTCATCCCAATCGCCCAATGGATCCCTATTTCAGCTACCAAGTATCACTGGGTAATGAGACGTGCTCATTAAAAACGTTACAACAAAGGCGAAACTTATCTAAAACCAATGTATATTTTTCTTAAATAATTGTTTATTTCATTAAATGTTGGGCTATAGATGTTAATTCGGGTGAGCAGAACAATATCTATCTATCTATCTATCTATCTATCTATCTATCTATCTATCTATCTCAGTCTGTTCGTATCTATATATCTATATCTCAATCTGTTCATATCTATCTATCTATCTATCTATCTATCTATCTATATATATATCTATCTTAATCTGTTTATATCTATCTGTTAATATCTATCTATCTATTTATCATATCTAGCTAGCTAGCTGTCTCTCTATATCTATCTATCTATCTATCTATCTATCTATCTATCTATCTATCTGTCACTGTTCATATCTATCTATCTATCTATCTATCTATCTATCTATCTATCTATCTATCTATTTATCTATCTATCTGAATCCGTTCGTATCTATCTATCTGAATCCGTTCCTATCTATCTATCTATCTATCTATCTATCTATCTATCTATCTATCTATCTATCTATCCTTTTCATTCTCTTGATATCTATCTATCTATCTATCTATCTATCTATCTATCTCATTCTGTTCATATCTATCTATCTATCTATCTATATATCTATCTATCTATCTATCTCCATATCCATGTCTAATTTAACGAAAGGATTATGTTTCTGCAAACTTCACGATAAAAGAAACCAACACAATGTTTGTTTTTATACGACCACCTGCTGGAGTATTTATTTACTTTTCTAAATTTACTTACCTCTTTCAGATATTGATCATCTATTCACGATATCTGACCCAATGATTGTGACATAATTTTAGTAGCAAATTTCTTTTTCTACTGCAACGACCAGAAACTTCGTTCTCTTTTGACGTACCATCGACTTCCATATCCTTCACGCCATCTTAAGAGCAAAACACGCTGCATGTATTTTTTTTTAGTAAAGTTCACCCTGTACAAGGGTCGCTCGCGGTATAGGTTTACGCTAAGGAGTCGTTTATAAGGTTAACTTGTGACTTGAACAGGTTAAGATTGTAGCGATCGGAAAAAAATCATCTTAGGAATCTGAGCAGTGGTTTGTGTGAAGAAGCTGTCTGAGTGGAACTTACATCTTGCCAATGGAATACGGAGGGAATGTAAGTGTCATGGCAGGTTCTAGCCGTGAAGGTTAGACCTGGTGGAATCAAGGGATGTAGTTCGTTTGAGCACTTTCCATGGAGGTAGCTATGGAGCAGTGAGAGGCTTGCCATATCCCGCCTCTGAGAGAGAAGTTGGAGGATTGAAAATAATTCGTCACCCACAAGGACTCGAAGCCGCTTTTGAACTCCATCGAGCCAAGAAAGTGAGGACTGGGCAACCCCGCCCAAATATGACAATCGTACTTCATTTACGGCTTGATCTGTTCGCATCTATCTATCTATCTATCTATCTATCTATCTATCTATCTATCTATCTATCAGCGTCTCTCTTTCTGCCTATCTCGGTCTATTGATATCTATATGTCTGCCTGTATCTATCTATTTGCTTATATCTATCTTCCTGTGTGTTCATATCTATCTATCTATCTATCTATCTATCTATCTGAATCCGTCCGTATCTATCTGTCTCAGTCTGTTCGTATCTATCTATCTATCTATCTATCTATCTATCTATCTATCTATCTATCTATCTCAGTCTGTTCATAATCTATCTATCTATCTATTTGAATCCGTTCGTATCTATCTATATATTTATCTCAATTTGTTCGTATCTATCTATCTATCTATCTATGTATCTATCTATCTATCTGAATCCGTCCGTATCTATCTGTCTCAGTCTGTTCGTATCTATCTATCTATCTATCTATCTATCTATCTATCTATCTATCTATCTATCTATTTGAATCCGTTCGTATCTATCTATATATTTATCTCAATTTGTTCGTATCTATCTATCTATCTATCTATCTATCTATCTATCTATCTATCTATCTATCATCGTCTGTTCATGTCTCTTTCTTTCTATCTATCTCAGTCTATTGATATCTATATGTCTGCCTGTTCATATCTATCTATCTATCTATCTATCTATCTATCTTTCGCCGGTTTTCATATGATTCAGTAA